ATGATAATCCAATTTATTCTATAATTTATGTAATCTTTCATTTAATGTAAACAATAATAAAATGACATTTAACAATGATTTTAAAGAATGTCCAAAGAAAAAAAAAGGTGTTATAAACTTTATTTGTTAATTTTGTTTCGAATTGTGTTATGGTTATAGATTTTTTTTTTGTTTTTTACTATATAAAAAAATATATAAATTATTATTAAAATTGATAAAAAAATATATAAAAAATTAATTAAAAATAATAAATTTACATTTTAAAACGAAATATTATGTACAATATGATCAAACAAAGCCATACATAGCTTTCTTTTTTGTCAAGATTTCTACTCCATTATATTCCCGTAAAATATAAATCTTTTAAGTTTTAATATTATAAAGTTATTATTTTTCTGACCACTTTACTTTTGTTTTTCATCATACTTTTTTTAAGCCAACTTTTTCATCATAGATGCACAGATAAACTGGAGAATAGCGAATGAAATGCAGTAGCTTGCAAATTATGTAAAACGCATGCACAAACACTTTTGTAATGACAGTTAGAGAACTATAATTAATGAATAACGATAAATAATATTCAAATTTAAGATTAAAATATGACATCAATATTGTTATATAAGTTATATTATTTAAAATATTAAAAAATAAATATATATTATTTAATAATTAATTTTTTTATTTTTTAATAGATAATATTATATATGTCAATTAATTTAATAATATAATTTATATTACGTAATTGATTTAAAATTTTTACTTTAAATTTTTATTTTTTTATCATTACTTATAATTAATATAATTAATTAATACATTTGTCAAGAATGTCGGACCAATAGTATCAAGTTAAGCATTAAACTATTAATGTAGCTAGATAAGCAAATTAATTAATAATTTGGATTAGAAGCCGTTTGAATGCGAGGACTGGATTCTAATTAAGACCTATAAGGGAAAGGGCACGTGAGAGAGCAAGGTGAGGAGAATCGATCCCTTGCTTGAAGGAGGAGAAGGAGTGGGCCCTCACTAATTTGGGCCCTCAATTAGAGTGCTCTTTCGGTATCCTTGCTTTATCGAAAAACCCAATTATTCTCTTCCCCCATAAGCTTATGTCACGTCAAAACGCCAAGTTCGATCGCCTGTCTGTGTCTGTGACGATTACGCCGCGATCTCTGACGTCTCTCGCGGCCCCTGATCCAAAATATCACAATTATGGACTTTGCCGTGCCATAAGTTAAAAACATATCAAGAGTCTAGCGAGACCAATCATTTTATATATGACCGGACAGTGTTATTTTGTAAATTATTATGATATTTAAATTTTAATTTTTTAAAAATTATCTAAAATAATATTCGTGTAAAAAAGGTAATTTAAAAATATCTCAACCTTTAAACTTAAGTCTAAAACACAAACGCATTTTTTTGTTGTGGTTCAGTTGTGTTACTGCAGTCTAAAAAGGCTGTCGGTGGAATGCACCCCAACCAGTAATCGAATATTGTCAAAGAATAAGATACTAATTTTTAACTCCTAACACTTAACCATTACTCTTGTTAAAAAAAAATCTCAAAAACAAATTGTTTAAATATATTATATTTATATAAAGATAGTATTATAGGGATATTTTTTTAAATAATTTTTTTATATAATTTTTATATGTCATTAAAGAAATGAATACATTCAATATCATAGGTCTCATATAAATTAAAAAACCACAAGTCTCATATAAATTAAAAAATCAATCATTTTAATAATACGTCAAGTTATAAAAAAATAAAATAAAAATGTTATACAAAAATCATTTTTCTTATATGAAATATGTCTTTTAAAAAAATAAAAAATGATTTTAAAAAATATAAAAATTTATAGCATGGTATACTATCATGATACAAGTTTTTAATATGAAAATAAGAATTTAACGTGGGTTTTTTTCAACTATCGAAATGATTTATTCCTTTATTTAAATTAACGGATGTTTATTTTGATTGACTAGACTAGACACATTCCGTTGGCTAAAAATTTTTGGATACCAAAATAATACCATTTCATATTTCCATATTATTTCCTTGATTGATTCACAAGGTAGTTTATTAGCAAGACACTAAATATGATCACATGAATCACTGGGGCGGCTTATAAGCTGCGAGCGGAGTCATGATGAAGCTGAAGTAAGGTGTGGGCCCGGTGTCCTGAGTTTGGACGGCATAGTAGGGGCCCACAAATATTGTTTTAGCCCACCGACGCCAGTGTGGGAAGTCTCTGCACCATAGTTCCACAGTATCGGCCCCCACCCTTTTCTTTTCTACCCTACGCATTGTCATTTTCCCCTCCCTATATATTTCACATCCACCACTTCCTTCCTCCTCAGACAAACCATTCCATTCCCCCTCATTCACTCCCCCTTCCTCAACACACACTTTCCCTCCCTTTCTCTCCACTTTCCCAAATCATTTTTGTGAATTCTTAGTGAAGGGAAGGGTAGAAAGCATTTCCTTTGTAATTCGCCTTTTTCATTTAATGGGTCTTACTTCTCTCCAAGTTTGCATGGATTCATCTGATTGGCTTCAGGTATATGTACATTTCTCACGCATTTTGAAATCAACAAAATTAGTTAATTTCTTTTTTGTTTTCCATCATCAGTTAATCTCTGAATCATTAAACTGGCTATGTCTAAGGATCGACCCGTTTTGTATATTATGCAAACAAACAATGTATATATAGAAAAGAATAATTCATATATTCAGAAGAATGGATAGTTAACCTTCTTTTTTAAGAAGCTATACTGAATTTTTGCAAATATAATTTCTCTAGCATCATTGCATTCAGGTTTCAGCTTGTTTGGTTTGGTGTGATGAGAAGAAAAAAGAGAAAGGAATATCTCTTCATTACCTGGCACCAAAAAAGGACAAAGAATATATGTCTCGTCCTATGCCGGCCTAACAAATGCCACCTTGTTGATCTTTTTTAGGGCACGATTCACGAGGAGTCTGGCATGGATTCATCATCGCCGTCTGGAGACATGCTCACGGCCTGTTCGAGGCCACCAGCACTGATGGAGCGGAGGCTACGACCGCAACACGATCAAGCACTTAAATGTCCCAGGTGTGACTCCACGCACACCAAATTTTGCTACTACAACAACTACAGCCTGTCGCAGCCGCGGTACTTCTGCAAGACCTGTAGAAGGTACTGGACCAAGGGTGGCACGCTGAGGAACATCCCCGTGGGCGGTGGCTGCAGGAAGAACAAGAAAGTCACCACAAAAAAATCAAATGACCATCATCATCAATCAATTGGCAGCGCAAATATTATTCCTGGATCAACATCTAATCCGACCGATCTTCAGCTCTCATTTCCAGAAATGCAGCTTTCACACCTCAGTAATTTTCTCGGAACTCATGGTAATTTTAGTACCGTTGGAAATGCTAATTTTGATTTCATGGAAAGTAAGTTGGAAGCCATAGTTGGGAGTAGTGCTGCTGGTGGTTCCAGGAACTATGATTATAATGGGGAGTTGGGCTTGGTTGGACCGGGCGGTCTAGTGGACATGGGTCCGCACGGACTGGCGGCAGCAAACCTTCATGGGTTTTGTTATGGGATGTCCGTCGACGGCAATGGCGGCGGGTTCATGGACACGTGTCAGAGGCTGATGCTTCCTTACGATGCAAATGAGGATCAAAACGGTGTCGTTGATGTGAAGCCAAACCCCAAGCTCTTGACCCTTGACTGGCAAGACCATTCTGATCATGCCGGGAAAGACACTCTCGGGTATTTGAACAACATGCAGGGATCATGGACAGCCGGCATGATGAACGGCGGTTATGGATCTTCAACATGCTGAGATGTCTAAAATATATCTCTGACATGATAAAACCATAACCATAATGTGAAGACTCTTCCTGTGTCGAACCAATTAGGATATATATCAGTTATATATATAGTTATTACATATATATTAGGTGGTCATGGTCAACTTCATGATCGACTAAGTTAAGGACGAGAACGGGGTGTGAATGGGAAACTTAGAAAGAGTCCTAAAGACGACCACCAAAACCGTTTTTTTTTTTTTAAAGAGAACAACCACCTTAATGGTGCATGATGAGTGCCTTTATTTTTATTTTTACTTTTATTTACTAGTTGTTTTGGATTAATTGGGTGTCTGGCTGTGAAGGACATTCAAAGGTTGTAGGATTTTGTTGTTATACGAGAAAGATATAGTAGTGCTTTTCTATTTTCTAGTGTAAAAAGTATGACTAATGGTACTTTGATATGTTGGTCTTACTTTTTATTATATATTATGTCTGTGATTATGCTTTTATTATTGACAAAGTGTATTGTGAGACATAAAAGGAACGGAAAGCAGAGTTTTCCGGGAAAGCGTACCTTCTCTTTGAGTTGCGTGTTCTAGTTATCTCTTTAAACAACATTGATATCAGTGGTAGAGTTTGCATTGAGACATAAAAACTACGTACATTTTTTCTGTTTTATTGAAAGTTAAGTGCCTAATATTTTGGGATAACTCCCCTTTTCTTTAAATTTCTTTTATACTTATTTTAAAATTTAAATTTTAGACATTTAATTTAAACTTTTAATTATCTATTAGTTATGACATCACATTTAAAAAAAAAATTTAAGTGCTTCATAATACAAATAATTAAACTTTCGATATTAATTTATTACGGGTGAATATCAATTCACTCTAATTATCGTTGATAATAAAAAAGTTAACAATTGGAGCTTTGGAAGTCTTTCTCCACTCCTCTCATGATGCAATAAAATAAAAAAATTCCTCTACATGTATCTATATAGATTTTAGTCATCATTAGTTCCTCCATCACATAAGAAACTTTAGTTTTATTAAATGCATGAAATTAACGTGAGGGTATACCACCCTTACATACTGTGCAACAATTTAATGTGAAAAATCACTTACACATTGCACAACCATTTATTTTGAAAAATAATATATATATTTATGAAAATTGTAAAGAGTACTCCATCTTTTTAACCCTTAAAATCTTAAGGTTTATGATGAATGGCTTAGACTTGAAACATTTTTAATGTAAATAAAACTATAAAGGAAAGAAAATATACCTCTACAACAACCATGTCCAACAAGGCAATAAATTATATAGGTGACCATGACTTGGGTTACGGATAGTTCGTCACTTGTGCAATTTGAATGTCAAACACAGAATGTCTATGGTAGTGACGTGATATTGGCGCCTTTTGACTTGTTTTGAATTTTGCTGCAAATATGATACATATGGTATTGTTCCACGTTTAACACACAAACCATTTGAAGAAATTTTGAACTATGTTAATTTTATTTTTTTATATTCACCGTGTTTTTGAGTTAATTTATACATATTTCAAGAATCAAGATTAATTCTTTTACAATATTGTTAAAAAACCATACCATTTATTTTGGAACTAAAAAAATTATAAAAAATTATATTTTTCATTAATTTTTTTAAAGAATTGAACTTTAAACAACAATGTAAGAAATAAAATTTTTTACCAATTAAATCATAGTTGATTGAGTTTTATACCATGTTCATTGAAAAAAATGTACCATGTTAATATATATTATATATTTTCGAGTAGATGTTAATACTTAATTATTGAGTTTTAGGCAAGGGTAGAATAGGGACATTGTTCATTGTAGAGGCGTGAGGCCTCAGCTAAGTTTACGTTACTTAAATTACCGTTGGAGATTAATTTGAGCTTGGTCTTGGTTACATAAGCTTGGGCCGACTTCGGCCTAATCAGGTTCACTAGCGTCAAGGACTTGAGAAGACGCACTAGTCGCGTTTAAACTTTCAACACAGCTAAGCTAACCATGGGCTATAAACTTGGGCTTCACCGTAAACTCGAACCGATTAGCCCTGACCGCCACTACACTCCAAAGAGAGTGCCAACAAGGTAAGCCTTCCGACTCTGCTAGTTCAGGTACGAGACTGCGGACTGTTGTTACTTTCCTCTTCCAAACCCTCCTTTTCCCGCCACTATCCTCTCAACCTCCGTCGGGGAACTCATCGGAGTCGCCGATGGTTACTTCTAGAGATTTTCAAGAGATCGTCTCCAAGCTTTCCTCCGATTATGTCAGAGTGCGAGAGGTAAGGCATCCACTCTCCATCTTTCGCATTCTGTTTGGTTCGCAAGAAAACGCCGGAAATAAATGCAACACTGCAAATTCTTTCTTGTTTGGTTCGTTCGTTTTATACTTGAGAAAGCAAAGTAAATCAAGCTCGGTTTATATCAAGAATAGCTATTGTAATCTAATTTTTGTTTGTTAATTTTACGATTCGACGGTTATATCAAGTCAAAGGTAGTCAAATAATTGCGACTAAATTGATGTTGTATTTTTCTTTTTTCTCTTATCCTAACATGATCTAGGAAATGGAATGTAGGTGGTTATCTGTTCATTGTTTGTTTGATTTTGTTCCATAAAATTATAAGAATCATTGTACAGTGCGATTTGTGGTTCTTGAGCATTCCGTATGATGTTCCAGTGTCTTAGTTTTTCTCTTCATTCATCAAAGTTATTGATAACTGAAAGACTGATGTTTTTTTTCCCCCTAATTTTGTATCTGTTTAGGAAGGAATGAAATTATTGAATACGTGGTTAGAAGGAGAAAGATCGGTTGGATTTTGTAATTTCCTTGGAAAGAACACGGCAAAGCTTAAACCAGATGACATTCTTAGTTGTAAGATCAATCTTACCTCAAAATTTTGCATTGATTTTTAAAGTATAGACAATTGAAAGAGAATTGAGATGGATGAGTTGTTCTGCAGCTGAAACATGGCCGTTTCTTGTTAAATTGCTTGTTAAATGTGTATCATCAGAGATTTCTTTGAGTAAGCGGCGAGCACCAAAGTTGACTTTTGCCAGAACCTTGCGAATTGTTGTACAACGAGTGGAAGAAACTAAAATTTCTGGTTAGCAACAACGTTTTTCTGTGATTTATATGATTTTATATTGAGTTAGTTCCATAGAATTTTCTTTGAATTACAGTTGGTGAAAACTGTGGTAGTCGATGGATGATGCTGCTGCATAGTATGAGAGTTCTCAGCTAGGAGTTGTCATTAGAAGGAAAGGTTTTGGGGGAGTCCTACTAGCAAACTCAGGAAACCAATTAGTCTTCAAAAGACTTATAAAGGCTCAGGCTAGGAATCTAAATCTTGAAAATGACCTATAATTTAGGACAAAATATTTTATGCAGACACTCCTGCAATTTATGGTTTAACCTTCTTTGCATGAAAGGTTTCATGACTGTTTAAGTAATGACCTGGTGAGTATTTTGCCCCATCTTGCTTTCAAATTATTCTGGAGAAAGAAGAAATGAAAGGGACTAGTGGGACATTAAAGGTTTGAGGTTGAAATTTACTATAGTTAAAGGAGAATGAGATGTTAGTATATATGAGAGTTGAAATTGTTTTTTTATACTTGTTCTAATGGAATTGATGTTGATAGTGAGTTCTGACGTCATTATCTTTTCCATCAAATCTTTTTGCAGAAGGGATGTTGCCTTTGTTATCTGTGGTTAAGACACTTTTCAGTCACATTTATGATGTTTTAAGCACTGTTCCAATTTTTCAATCGGAATATGGGGTTATGCTCCGGCATCTACTGAGTGTCAGAGGCTATCGTTTTCACATGAGGAAGCATATCTATTCTAGTGAGTTTTTCAGTGGCACACGTTTTTGCTAGAATCTTCGTCCTTGTATCTTGTTTGCCAAGTTCAGTCTTCTTTATTTACTTTAATGTGTTTGGGCTAGGTCTTATGGTTCTTTACATGGAGAAGGTGGAAACAAGCCTAAGTGAGAAAAATAACACTCAATATACTCAGAAAGACGAGGTTTTTCGGTGGATCTTGACACTTCAGTCACTTCTTGAAAATCCTCCTGGTGATTTTCCTGATGACCTAAGGGAAAAAATTGTGAAGGGATTTATTCATATTTTCTATTATGTGAGGTATATAAATAATTAACCTTTCTTGCTTTTATTCCTTATTTCTTTTTTATGCTGTTAATATCCTGTTTCATGACCTTCTTTCTGTTAGTTTATGATCCTGATACTGGCTTTCTTGCATTATGTTTAGGGATGAGGGAAAGGTCTCACGCAAGTTAATTGAATGTATAAACACATATTTATTGAAAGATGGTCCAAATCTAGGGCCCCAGTCTTTTGAGATCCATAATGCAGTGCAGCAATTTGTTTTCCACTGTTGGCTGACAACACATGATAAGGGTCTTAAGGTTTTTCTGAAATTTTCATTTCTAGGCTTTTTTTTTTTTAATTTGAAATATGATTTTGGAGTTCTTTAGAGTTTGCATGCCACTTTCAATGCTTTCTTTCCTGCAGGATGCACTTTTTTTCTATGCAAGGTTACAGCTAAACCTAATTAGAGGTGCTGTTGATGGTAGTTCTTTGGTAGAGCAACTTTTCGATGTACTATGCAAGGAACTAGATCAAAGCAATTTATCCATTTCGGGTGCTCCTTGGTGTGTACATCTTATCATTGTTCCATTTGTTCTGGGATTTCTCTTCTTTTTTTTTTTTTTTTTTTTTTGATGGATTATCATATAAGAAGTATTCAGGGGTGATGCAATCAAGGATGATAAGTTTGGGACATTAAGCAGCTTGCAATGTGGTATGGTGGAGCTTGCAGCACTTGTTTTCTATCGGGTATAAATCCTACTCGCTTAGAATCAGAATTTGCATTTTAGTCTTCTGATGCCATCCATGCTCCTCCCTTTGGATTCTCAATATTTTGGAGATCTTCATTTATATTGTCAAAATTGCAGATCTAAGTAATATTTTTAAGGTTTTGGAATGATTCTCAATCGAAGTATTGATGTTTGATCATGTATACTCCAAAAATTATTTATTGAAAGTGTGGAATTTTTTTGTTAATTTGCAATGGTTTTATTCATATCGTTAGTAAATATACTACAATATTTTTCCACACACATGTATTCATGCCATTCCTATATCCTTCTGAGAAATGGAGATCTTAAGCATGGTTAAAAAATTATATCCTTTACCTTGTTCATAGACAGACATAGTTAATAACTAGAGTGTTTTGGCTGTACAGGCATGTGTTAATACAACCAAAGTACCATTCGCTGAAAAAAGAGTTAGAAAGGACCATGCTGCTATCCATCTAAAGGAGGCGCTTATGAAAGGAAAATGCTTATGGTATGTCTAACCTGTTCAAACTGCAAAGTTAATTTTTACATTTTCCCTTGAATTGTGTGCAATGCAGTTTCATTGTGTCTTTGGTATTTGTGTATCATGGTTTTAAACTTCTTTCAACATGTCCTTGTGTTAATTTAGTTGTGTGATTTAATATGGCTATTGCATCTAGTACTTTTTGGTTTGAAATTATTTTTATATCAAAATTTGAGCTATCATTTTTACTGTCCTTTGTGATTATTTTCATAGTATTTGAATGTTCAAGTGGGTTCCTTGTACATTTACTTTAAAGCCCTTTGTCTTCTTTGGTCCATAGAATTGGAAATGTGCTCTACTCTTTACTAGTAGTTTTCTTTCCCTTGAAAGTGCATGGATGTGCTACAGGAATGCTGCATTTTTCCATCTGATCCATAAGTATTACCCTCGCATCGGACAGGATCTTTTAGTTTACTGGTTCAATGCCATTTGTGGAAGTTTTGACAGGTAATTACGCCTTCTAATCTTTTAGATTGGTGATTGTGTCCATATATTGTCACTTTTTAATATTCCCTTCTTTATCTTTCTATAATCTATTTGTGAAACATGTCTACCCTATGCTGTAAAATTTCTGTCCTAAATCACGCTCTCATCAATTTTCATACTGGCAATATCCTTGTATGGATGAATGAAACTTGATTCCCATTGTCGACGGTATGTCCTTGCAGAGGCAGTAAATTCATGCATAAATACATGTATGATTGTGTGCTTATGTACATTTTGTTTTTTTGGTACAGACATTTATATGGACATTTATGTGCAAGATATATGATCTGGACTATTTTTAGAAAATGTTTGTATCCTTATTTCTGTTAGCTTATTTAGCTGTTTCTGTGCTTGGGATAGGTTTTGATTCTGTGCATGAGATTCGGTTTTATTGTCTCTTGAGGCATCCTGCATGTACACATGCATGTTTAGGGTTTTGCTGATTTTTTAAAACTATAGTTTTTAATTAATATTAATGTAGTCACTTTGTTTTTCTTTCTTCCTTTTATTTTCTCTAAATATATATTGGACATTTACCAAGATTGTCATTCTAATTTCTGGGCTGACAAGTTGGATGTAGTACAGGATTTTGAATGAAGCAAATATGGGGCATGCTTATGATGGTTTATTGTGGACTTTGCGGTAAGTACCATGGACGTGAAAATTTCGTGCATTTTAAAGTTTTCTCTGCAATGCAGGGTGGTGTTTTAGAACTGTGAAATAAATAAATAATGCCATTTTTTTAGATTAGAAAGAGAGGCATTCTACCCCATTTAGCATTCATGTTGAATATCTATTATCTATATCTATTTGTAATTTTAGTTGGGGCTTATTTCTGTGTCTACTTGCATCTAAAGGAGTTTGCAGGGGCTCTTCTCTAAGATGCTGGTTCCAGAATCTCAAGAGGAGATTTCATCAAGGTCTTCTTTCCTCTCAAAAGAGGTATTTGGTTCTTCTGTTATTGCTCCTTATATTTTTTTAGAAAAAAAAAATATTATTATGACTCAATGACCTATCTACCATTTTTTTTTTTTTTGAAATATGAATAATTTCATCACCACACCTTTTTAATTTTTTTAATTTCCAAAAATCTAAAAACAGAAGAAAAATAACCAAAAGTTTCAAAAACGGAAAACATTGCCAGACACATTCTAAGCTTTTATGCTGCAGTTGAGTGGTGTTTTACAAAGAAAAACCCTGTTTGGAATCAGCATGGAGCTGTTCATCTTAGATAAATTTTCTTCTATAATTATGCTTTTAGCATTCACTCATAATGTGAGTGTACGGTTTAAGGTTTTATGCTCCGGTACAATGGTCTATAGCTTCTTGAAATTGGATAAAATCATGGTCAATGCCAGCATGGAGTAACAATTTTTTTAAAAATGTAATTCAGCAAGGTTATTCACATTGCGTTGAATGTAACTGTATTTTGTTATGCAAGCCATATTATCACTAGTAGAGGCAAAATAGCTGAGGAGAATATTTTGGGAAGATTTAGTGGAACCTTGCCATTTCTATCTTTTTCTTTTTTCTTTCTTTTTTGTTATATGGTGGCCTGCTATTGAGAATCCTTGACTGAGGTGGGATTTGAGTTCTAGATGTTTCTGCAATACAGTCTTTACAATTTAGACTAGGATGACAGCTTCCAACAACTATAATTCTTAGTATGCTGTTTATTTAATGCTCTATGCAACTGTACGTTTTTTTGATCTATTCAGGTGTACTCTTAACACTGCTTTTTTTGAAAAACTTTTCAGTTTAGTGGTGGTTGGCAGTTCATATGGAGCCATCTATTGCACTGGCTGCCAACATTCAGCAATGTAACCCCAGTTGTAAGTTCCCTTAATCATCATCATCCCTTATTTATTTTTTTATATAGACAGTTATTTATTTAGTTGTATTTATATAAATACACCTATTGTTATTATAATTATCATCATTTAGATATATGATATATTTATATGTGTATATATTCATATGTATTTACTTGTATATAAATGTATTATTATTTGGACTTGAACAATATATGTGGGTTGCTGGTGGCATGAATTGTGTTGCTGTAAATGGTAAAATAAGTTACTATGGCCTCAAAGAAAAGGAAGACAAACTTAGAGTTTATAGAGAGGAGAAAATACACTCCTTTACATCATCTAATTGATCAAAAGCTTCCTCAATTTTGAGTAGTATATGAGTATTTGAGGGCTCTTACTCTTATTCTATTATTATTTTAAATTTTTGAAGGATAGTGTACAAATATTTATTTTCTACTGTTTGAGCTTCTGCTGATATTCATTTTCTCTTCATTGATGAAGGTTGATGCTGCTTTAGTTCTCCTTGGAAGCATCATTTCAACTGTAAGTGCTAGGAAGAGTCCTCTTTGATCTGCTGTTTTTCATGTTTTCTACAAACTGATATTAAGTAATTAGAGATTGCCTAGTTTGAGAGAGTAAACGTATTTAACTAATATATTATTATTTTTTTACTAATTTCTGGGTGTAAAATTACTTGCAAATTCTGATTTTAGGGTTTGATGGATACATATATTGTGCCTCAAGAATTTTTGGATCTTCATTTATCCAAAGGAATGCCATCACCGTAAGTATCTCTTTCCTTCAATTGTGTTCTGCTAGGGTTAATTAACTAAGTTACTAAGGACCGACACTGGGCTTCTGATAATGACTTTAGGCTGTTAGGACGATGGGCTTCTGCTAATGATTTTAGGCTGTTCCTGCAAGGGATTTATTGAGGTCTATAGGGTGTGTGGATGTGCCATTGCAATAAAGTGTTTTTTCTTTTGGATCAAGATGTTTCTTAATTTTGTACCTTATTGCCCTTAATGAAACCTAGTCATCTTGCCACATTACTTATTCCAGTTAGATCTTGAAGTCCTTTTACAAACATTCATAGTGTAGCAAATAACATGCATTTGTGAGTTTATATATAATTGCTAGCATATATAACCACGTTTATCACCATGTTTAATTTCTAATGATCTTAAGGTGTCAGTGTTTCTCGAGTAAAATAGTGTAGGCTATGCTTTGTGTAACTCTGTGTGGATGCTAGGACGATGAGGTGGTGAGGAAGGGACTTGGGAGATAACACCAGTTGATGCATGGCACTCCTGCCTAAGTTTTTTAATGCATTCTGCTTCTATAGGAGACTTGATATCTAACATATGCCTCTTATTATTATTCTGCTCTACTCTTTTATCTAATTGTGTGGTTTTGATATCTGTCCAGGTCTGTTTTGTACTTTATTATGTGCTATTATTCACAAAAGGGTTCTCAAGTAAGTGGCCTGGATGATATCTTTCTGATCTATAATTTCATTTTGTGATTACATTCATGGTCTCTGCATCTTCTACTTTCTAATAATGCAACTGATTTTCTGTTATTTATCTGCTGGCATGTATGAGTTTACTCTCCTTCACTGTCCACCCTGCTTTTTAAATTTATGTGTGTGTGTGTTTGTGTGAAGATTGTCAGAGATGAAAGGCTTTCTCAGGGTGCTACACCCTTCTCCTAAGCGAAGCAAGATTCCTGAAGCAGGACTTGGTTTTTCCTATATGTAGTCTGTTGAAAAATAGATGTCTACTCTGCTTTAGATGTTGAACGTGGTATACTATGTTTTCTCTTTTATTTTGTGAAATAGGTGAAAATGACCGGACAATGGCATATTTTCAATCACCTAAAACAGAGCAAAGGAATTAACTCTGTTTTGGTGAAAGAAAACTTAGAAAGGAAATAAATGGAAGGGAAAACAGAGTTGTTCTCTGTGTAGGAAATAGAGAAAAGATAAATGTACAAAAGAGTAGTATTCTTCTGGATGTAGGGGCGATTTTATCCATTTTAGCCTTTCCTTAGCGTCTAGGCAAGTGCCTTAACAACCTTTTGTGTGTGTTTTGAAGTTTGGTCTAGTCATTGGTGTACTGGTGTTGCATATCTTGCCAGCTTTTTCTAAAACAAGTTAGAACTACAGTAATTTACCAATTCCAAAAAAAGTAGAACTGCTGGTCAATTTGAGTGAAGACTTGAAGCAAGAGTGGCTGGTCTTGTCTATGGCTTGATAGGTATCTAGGCATTACTTGGTTTTTAGATAACAATGGAGTACCCTTAAATAAGCTCAGATTATTAATCAATTCAAAATGTTTTTTGTGCTATGTTGAGCTGCTTTTATTTAATTTTATTTCATATTTTTTGCAGGGTGACCTTCGAGACATCTTACATTCGAGGAAAAATCTCTTAAGAGCAGTTTTGAGTTCTCTTAACTGGAAGGTCTGTTTGCTCTTAAATATTATCAAACTTGAAATATATATGTTTTCATAATTTATCATGCTTGTTTGATATAGAAGGACTTTATTTCATACAGGCATTGTCCTTCTAATGCTTTTGTCTTTGTAGTTTTTGTTGCATGGTACTTAATGTTAGTGGCTAGCCTCTTTAATGCTTAGATTTGCTATTGGAGGTGAGCTCATAAGCCATAAATAAGAACTTTAAGAATTTATTTATTTATTTAATTTAATTTTATTATTATTATTTATTTCTGTCTTCTGTGGTTAATTCAATCTGTTTGAGCTACAAAGTGGTGATAACTGATAGCTATCATGTTTTTTTGTTGATTTGAAAAGCAGAGACTATTGGGAATGTATTCACTCCTATCTTAGCAGAGGAGAAAAGTATCTTGCCTCTAGCTAGGAAACTATATTTTGGGGATATGAAATCACACTTGCATATTACCCGTGATCATCTTCCATTGCACTCCTTTTGGGTCATTGTGTTTAGATTTATCCTTCTGGAATTTGGAGCCTTCTTCGGGAGCTCTAAAGGTTTGAACCCATTATCAGGTTCTTTCCTAGGTGTAATCATTTGTTAAAGTTGTCAGATGTCATATTTGCTGACCACTGTCCAGCAAAGCAGTAACTGCTTCACTGGTGTGGGGCAGGAACGATCTATGCTGGTTAAGCAAGGTTGGTAGGGATGTCCCTCCCTTGTGTTGAAACAGCTTTCTCCCTTTCAGTGCAAATTGCTTAGATTAGCAAGAACGGTATGGTCCTAGCATTATTATAGTTCTTGATTACTGGTTAAGATGCAAATGTTGGATACTCTTTGAAAACTAATTACCATTGCAAGTCTTCTTTTGTTATTTCTCTTGGATCTTATGTTGGGTCATCTCTAAGTAAGACTTGCAAATTGTCCACCTTAGACCTTATGGGGCTGAGTGATCATTTTAACCAAAGTGTTAAGTGGGAAATTCCAGTATTCATTATGTTTGGGGTTTTGTGTAGCCCTTATTATTAAATATAAGTTTGGCCTCTCCACCTGTTGCAAGTTGGTTTTAGATTGAATGCTCTTTAACAACAAGCTTCATTTGCTGCTGGTTTCCGGAAATTTTGGGCCCATAAAGCGTCTATTTAGTTCTGGAACTTGGCTGATAGTATACATTGAGTTTAGATGTTGAAAAGAAATATCATTATGTTTATATAACCATGGTTCTTAAAACCTTTTCTTTGATCTTATTCAGAACCTTGTAAGCTTATTAACCTGCTGTATATTTTGTTATAACTGATCTCTTGTTTGTTTTGTGATCTTAGGAATCTTTGATGCTGAATGAACGTGTGGTGTTATTTTTACCGGCAGCTGTTTATGCTCTTTCTACTGGTTGTGAGCCATTTAGGCATTGTTACAAGGAAATTCCCCTGTCACAATCTTTTGTAGATGTTAGTGAGGCTGCAGATGATTGGATTAAGGTGTGTGCTGATGATGAATTTTTTGTTTCATTATGACTAATAGTTTTTTGTGTCTTATTTACTGGGTGGTTTCACTTTGATTATTTGATTTTGGATCATGTTTGTAGGGAGATGAATATAAGCATGAAAGGCAGCTCGATCTTTTTGAATGCTCTCTTGAAGTTCTTGCAGAAATTGACTCAGGATTGAATATTGAGGTTCTAGAATATTGTTATGAGAGGCATTTTTTTTTAAAAAAACGGATCCAGTTTTAGTGTTTTTTCTGAGTTTTGTTCTATTTTGAAACTGTCAGATTTCTACATCCCAAATCTATCAAAGGGTATCTCTTCCCCTACAGTTAAGAGAGCCACTTTTGTGTGAAATGGAGGCTTGTATTCTTGGGTTTTTAGATGATATTGAGACTGAAAAGCGTGCTCTACCAGATGTCTTCTTTATATGTGCTTTATTATCCAATTTCATATATGGTTCATTAGTGACAAGGTTTGTATCCTCTTCATAGCTATACCTGATTATTCCTTAATCTATTCTTATAAGTTTGCATCCTTTACATCTCAAATTATTTGCTATGCTGGAAGATGAATGGTGGGGTTTCTCCATTCTTTGTTAAGTTGTAAAGTATTTATGTGCATGAGCAAAATTTTTAATTCTACAATACCGTAGACTTTGTAATTTAGTTCAGTATATAGGGTTTCTAAGAGTATCTAAGGATATGTTTGTTAGGGATCAAGTTGAATTTTTGTGCAGTTAATAGGTAATTTTGTATTTAAGAGTCCTAGTTTCCAAGACAAGAAAATTTTCTGAAGTTAATCATGTCAATACCTGTTTGAACTGGCTAATGGTTATTGGTTAAAGAAGTCATAGTTATTCTCGTGTTGTTGAGATACTTTTTATTTTTTCACTTTTTATTTCCTTAGTTCATGCCTCTCTCTCTCTCTTTGCGTTCTTATATTAAGCTTCAATCCCAAGTGCTAATTCCTCCAATCTGATATTCCAATTCTATTCTCAAAACTCCAAAATTTGTCCCCATTTTCAAGACTGCAACCTTTAGTCAGAAACCAATATAAATGGTTACTGCAACTTAATATCTGATCCAGCAATTCCGGAAGTCTTTAATTTGAATTCTTCCACCTTGTTTTCTTTTTTGGCAATCTACTCTCCACCTTGTTCAAGCCCTAAAGTAGCCTGATGGTTAAATCTCATTTTTTTCTGATAGTAAGACCTTGGAATCTTTAACTTACTGAAGCAAGCCCTCCCTGAACCCTAAATCTTTTTGCCGTGCAGACTTTTGTAAACCGCTTTTATGTCCATGAACTTCCTAATTTTATAAGTTATTGACTGCTGTACTTTTTCCATTACTTCTTATCTTTCAGGCCATGTTCTTACCTATTTATATGCTTGTTTTATGCCAGGAGAAAGGAGGAGACATCATTATTTCTGTCCAAGTTGGGCCAATACTTGTTAGAGTTGCTGAGTCATGCTGTCAATATAATTGAAGAGAAACACAACAACTTTCAATCTCTTAGTTTTTGGGGCTTCAGTTCCAACTTCAATGAGAAAAGCACTATCCTAGCTTCTTTTAGAAGTTTTGTTTCCTGTCCGCTTTTCATCTATTGTAGAGATCAAGACGCCATGGGTTTTGTACATTTTAATTCAGTAATTCAATCCATGGAAAGGCTTTTAAAGGCAATAGTTAAACTCTATGATGACTACAATGAATGTGTAGTTAATCTTCAGTCTGAGACAATCTCATCACAATTATCTAGCCCTGATTCTCCTGTAAAAATATTGAACCCTCTGGATGGCAACAAAAGTAGGATTATGGACATGGAGTTAGATGTGAATGAGGATGTCAAAGATGTAGATATTCTGGCAGCTTGTGGGAAAGCTGCTGCTGGTACGTCTTTCTTGGCAGTGAAGTGGAAGTTGGGCATGATTTCACTTATTTCAAGTTTTTTCTCCGTTTTACATGTGGTTACCTGGGATGTACTATTTGACCTCATGGAAAAAGAGCATGACCCCAAGGTACAGTGTATGGTATTATTTGGCTTGGATATTTTTGGTATGGTATACATGCTAATAGTTGTGTTATTTCCTTTGTAACTTGCTTTTTTGAATATCTTCAGGTGTATGAGAATGTTCTTTGCAATCTTTTCCAGCATCCCCACTGGTCATCATATGCAAAGCTTACAGATTTGGTATGGGGAAGACTGATTGCTTAGCAAAATATCTAATCTAGGAAATGTGGAAATTATCTGAAAAATGACTTGTGATAGATATAATTGCCTATTTTTTTGAAGTCTCTTATAATCATTCATTCTGCAATTTTTGCCTTTTCTTCTATTTCAGGTCAGTTTAATGAATAATTGGAGGGAAATGCAAGTCAGTCAGAAGCATGATTGTGTTAATATTCTAGCTGCTATTTGTAGTTTGCTTGGTGCCTTAGTATCCCTAGACACTGGAAAGGATAAACATTGTGACCTTCCTTTGAAGGAAAGAGAAGCTAAAAAGGTACTCTCTAGAATGTCTTCTTTTCCTATTGGATTGGATTTGACATGTTCCATTGAAAGTTTTATATTGTGTTCACTATTTTCGGTGTATGGGAAACATATACCCATTGATAATTGTTCTAATAACTCCTATATGGTGGGGATGCATAAAAATCCTAAAACTTGTTTGTATAAACCATCTCAATGATCTCATTTTTCAAAGATAACCAAATTATTGTGGCCATCTGGTCGTTGATCAAGTGACTGGGAATCTGTTAGAATTCATCATTTGTATATGATGATTTAGATTCTGTTCCCAATCTTTGAAATATTTTGCAAAATTTTTGTAAGCCTAATGATTAGAAACCCAAAATTAAATATGGGAAAATTTGGTAACACTACTCAACTGAATGGTCTGATTTGTGCATTTTGAAAACAGCTGCAATGCGCTACTAGTATACTTCTGCAGGATAATGCTATTTTAATATATGGTATATCATTCTTATACACTGTACAGAATGCCTTTTCTATCTATCTTCTTTTCCAGCTTGTGGCTGTAAGTTTTGATTGAGGCGATGTGATATCAGCTGGTTGCATAAGTGTTTCTGGTGCTTGGGGGATGTGCCATTTTTATTATGTCCTGTAATTATGAATTTCTAGTTCCATGTCTGAGTTTTATTTTTTGATCAACACGTCACTGAGTTATTGTTCTATGAATTTGTAGCTTTCTCTACTACAAACTATAATATTTTAGTTAAGGGTTTTCCTTGATTTTTATGATTATTCATAACAGCCTGGCAAATGATGCTGTCAAATTTGAGTTTTTGTCCCCCTTTTTTGTTGCAGTGCTTGTTATATCTGGGGGAGCTGCTGAACAAAGTTACTGAATTTGATCTTGTTGACTGGTTTGGACGAGTTAAACTAATTGGCTGCATATGCAATTTTATTTTACTTAGTCCTGAAATTGGTCAGGTAATTATTTGAGGCTACATATTTCACTCTAGATTAGATTTTTTCACTCCTGCGGCTTGGATGCATGTGGGACTCACAAGTACACTCTTAATAAATTTGAAAAATTGTTATCTTTTAGTCAAATGTGGAAGTGGAATGAGTTTTATAATCCCAGAAGCTTGAAAACAGAGATGTAGGTTTCCTTTTTGATTGTTGAGAAGATATCTCAATCCCATGTGATTTCCTTGTCAATATCATAGAAGTAAAATACAGAATGGGGTTCTATTTTGTTCCTTTAATTCTCTCTCTTTCTGTGTGCATGCCAATGTTTCTGATATGGTTTCTGTTGTATAACTAATCTGCAGACAATGATTGAGAAACTGCTTTTGATGCTGCATGATCCTGATTACAGAGTTAGGGTCTTCTTGGGTAGGCACATTGGTGTTCTATTCCAGACATGGGATGGTCACATGGAGCTCTTTCAGGATATTTGGTGAGTTTATTGATGTCATATAATTTTGCTTTTTCATGATTATTGGCAAGAGAGTTGACTCCATTATGCTTCATGGGTGTTAACTAAGGAGATCTGTCATTTGTGCCTCTATCTTAATGTTATTTAACATCTCTTCTTTTTACTCATTTAGAACCTTGGACTCAATTTGTTGGATCTCAATCTAGCTTTTCTTCATAGCTTTTAAGTTTTCCCAAGTTTCTTCTTGCAAATCTTCTATGTTAGAGTTGTGCCCCTACGACTATTACAAAAATTATTTTAATCAATCTTGCTGGAAATACCAACTTTGCATTTTTTTGCTTCCAAGAGAGGTTGAAATGATACAGAGAATAGATTTACTAAAATTTGGAGGCACTACTTGTTCCTTGAGATCCTTCAAAAGATCTTGTGCTCCTGAATACTTAACCTTTTTGAGCATCCTTTCTATCAATATTTTGTTTAAGTAATTTTGTTCAAAATTCAATTTAATTCGACTTGTATTGGTATTTGGCTGTTTTGCAGTTCAAACTTTGGCATTGATCTGGTGCTTTACTCAAAAGAAAAACTTGTTCCTGCTAAGGAGGTTTTAGTGGCTGGTCCCCAGCCGTGTCCGAAAGTTGAAACTGTTATTATTACACTTATGCATCTTGCACTGCATAGTGAGAAAATAGAGTTGGAGGTATTGCTATTTCTTGTCTGTCCCTGCACTATTTTTGTATCATATTTGGTTAACATTCCTTTTTAGACAACTTTATGTTTGAGTTTTATTTAATTGCAGGCTGTTTTTATGTTGTGTGTGATTTCTGCCATTGATCCCTGTCAGAGGTATTGTGCCATACCTATTTTTCAGATGTTAACTACTGAGAATCAGCTTTGGTGACTGCTAATCCTTTTGTTCCAGGGAATTGGTGAATGCAGCCCTTGATAGTCTATCGAGAAAGCTCCAGTATATGTCTAGGATAAAGGTGATAATGTAATTTTGTCCTTTATATAAGTTTGATGCGTACAGGTAGAAGATTTTAAAAATTGGCTTGGCCTTTTTTCTCTGTGTGTGTGAAAGATTGGATTTTATTTGAATGGCTTTCTTTGGTTACTTGAATGTTGATAAACTTCAATGTCTCTTCCTTTATTTGGCCAGAATTCTCTGAACAATTTCATTTTTTTTTTTCTGCAGTACTTAGAGGAACTTATGGGATCTATCCTCTTCGGCTGGGTTGCTTGTGGTGTTAGCATAGCTGCTCTTGTTGAGGTAACAAGCTTATTATGTGAACACTGAATCTTGTACTTATTCAAGTTATGTTGCTGGCAACTTTCACAATGAATCCAGTTGCTTTCTGTGTTCTCTGTTTAAATTGTTTTGGATTTGAACTGAAAAAAAGCTTTTACGTTTGGTTTGCTTCAAATAACTTGAAAATGTTTAAAGGCCATGCATATATATGTTTTTTTTTTTATCAATTTTGCTAGAGATAATTGAGAGATTTTGACTTTGATTTGAGTCTTCTTGTTGTTCCATAATTAACATGTAAGTGTTCTACATAATCTACGGATTATGTTGTAAGTTCATACATTTGAATTCCATTTTTGTACTATCCACTTTGCTGTGTCTTACAACTTACAGCCCAAATGGATGTCTTGCAGTGGTATTTTTCTTCATTGACATTAGATACAACCTGAAAAATCATGCCATGGTCATTTTATTAGCAATCGTTTATAGGTTGCTCCAAATTTGTTAATGGTTCCTCTTTTTGTTGAATTTAGTCTCTCTGATCTAGTTGTATATTCCCTGCAGATACGACAGCTTTTTGTAGAAAATGCTGAACCTAGATGTTTTCTGCAATATTGTTCCCTTTGGCTTCTTCCAGCTTTAGTTCTGCAGGAGGACAATCCTAACCTGAATTGGGTGGCAAAGGTCTTGTTTGGTTTAAGTAAATAAAATTGATTTAAATTTCAAATTAATGTTATCTTAATACATGATTTTCCCATCACATCATTATCGTCTCTGTTCTTACTTAGTTCTTGACTTGACATCTCCATTTTTATATCTTTTTAAATTTTATTACCAGCATGTGTTTTTAGTTTCCCTTTTTTTTTTTTGTTTTTTTTTTAAATCAAATTCTAGTCAGGTTTTGGAAAATGTCTTCCTATTATCCTGTCCATGGTTCAACAAAGTATTATTTAATACCTTGTCCTTGTTGAATTAAATTCTTTATATCCAATGTTTTTTATTTAATTCTTTATCATGTATTTGTTGTTTTATGAATATTTTCATTGTACTAACTTGATTCAGTTGATTGCAGATTTCTGGTCAACCTTTGGATGTTATGGTCAAAGACCATTTTGTGCCAATTTTTTCAGTTTGTATGGCACTGCATTGCAGTCAGGCATCTGGGTGGGAGAAGGGAGCAATGGCGCTTCAGAATTCAATTTTGCATTTGGCTAAAATTTCTGAAGATGAACGAGATGAACTCATTAAGAGACAAATGGTTTGCTTCTTTTGTTTCTGTGAGCATATACACTTATATACATACATATACATGCACACACACACACGTTACATGTGTACATGACTTGTCTTGCATCAAAATGGACCTAACTATTCTTGGAGACTATATTGCCTGGATTATTTATCACAAAAGGCAGCCTAATATCTTCACTAGTTTTCATTAGCACAGTGATTTAAATGGATGTCTTGTTATGCTTTTCCTTGTAAGTGTGCTCCCCATTAGACTAAAGAAGCAACATGGAACCCTAAAGCACAAGGTGCACTGCATGTATTTGACATGTTTTTTGGGATGATTTAAATGATAGATCTAAATTTTTAGGATTTGAAAAACCATGGTTTGAAATTGTGTATCCATGCGGAAGGCACTGGTTTCTAATTCGGACAGCTTTTGGATGTGGCTCCTTTGTTAAGGCATCGGTGCTACTTGGGTCATTGATCTATACCCTGAGTTCCATTGTCATAAAACCTCTTTATACTTCATCAGGACTGAGTGAACTCCTCTAAATGTTGTATTGCCTTTTATGCATCTACAGGTCTCTATTGTCAGCCATATTCTTTCTCTTGCCTCCAGTGCATCAGATCCTATGATTCCATTTTTCTCCCACGATACAGTTGCACGTGCAATTCAAACCGTGGTGGATGGATTTTTGGAAGTGTAAATTGTCTTATGTTTTTCTTTGTATTTGCTGTATTGCCTTTTTTCTGTTTTATATTATAAGAGTTTCTCTACTTTACTGATTCAGGGAGGATCGTCCTGCAATTGTGTGCATCATTGACAAGATTAACATTCTTCGTCCAGATAGAGTGTTCATGGTGATATGATGACAGTTTCTTATGATTAACGGGTTTCAGGGTTGAGTTAAATCCCCCACACTGAATTCAATGTTTACTTTTTTTGGCAGTTCATAGTAGAAATGCATTACAAAATTGCGGCGGCAATTCATCCAAGACATAAATGTCATTGGTTAGCTTCAGTGGAGGTGCTCGTTAGTATTCTTGGGCATAGGGCTGCCATTCCAAGCACTTCCAAGTGAGTTGCAAATTGTAGTCTAAGACCTCATGACTTAGTTAATGATTCTTACTCCGTGCATCTGTATGAGCTTTTAATTTTGGTGGACATTGATACTAATTGTCTGTTCTGTAGGAAGTGTGCAAGAATTTTTTGAAAAGCTGATTCAGCATTTAGTTTAAGTTCTTTTTTTTTTCCCCCCTGTTTTTAGTCAAAATCATTTTGACAATTTTGTCAGTGCACAGAAGAATTAGGTTAGAAGGAAAAGTAAAATGAGTAACATGTCAAGACTAGGAAGGAAGACTTACTGAATTATGTAGGCATGCAAATAAGTGTTATATAACAATATGTAGGCATGCAAATAAGCATTAAATAACAATGCATGGTAATGCCTATGTTGTCTAGATTTTTATTTAGAATGTTTGGGCTAGTTGAATGTAAGATCATTTTTCTCAGAAGGTATGCTCTCACACCATCTCTTCCTTTTCTCTCTCTCTTTGAGGCTTAGAATTTGTGGCTAACTGTCACCTTCTAATCTTTTTTTCTCCTTTTGTTCTTCCCCTCCTAACTTATCTAATTTTTTCCTTGTATTCCAAATCCTGGATTTAAATATCTAAAGAGCTCTACTTCTCAAATTTCTAGGATAAAATAATTTTACTCACTTAGCAATAATATTATCTTTAGTAAATTCTTTTGATACTGTAAAAGTAGCAAAAGCCACATATTTTAGTGTCTTAAATACTATAAAGTGCATAAATGTATTTTTTCAGAATTTTGTTTTTGTCTTAATTTCTTCTTTCAATTATTGTAACTCTCCAAATAATAAAATATAGTCCTCAGATAGGCGTATCATTGCTTGGTTGGTGATATTTTGTTGGCTTAGCTTTTGCCTCTCTTTTGTTTGGATTACCTATAAGGTTTTAGAGGAACTTGATTTGGCAATTTAGCTGGGGTAATACTACCTGCTACCCTTGTTTGCTCTTCAATGATTTGAATTGTTTTTGGGGCAATGCAGTTATCTTTTCAATTTGATTGGGCAATTTATTGGCTCTAATGCTTTACAAGACCAATGCTGTCGTATAATTTCTGCATTGCTGAAATCTTTAAATAGCAACCCATCCAAAGAAGCTATCATCGTGCTTGGAGAACAACTTCAGGTATTCTACTTTCTGACTGGTGTATTTTTAGGATGCTGCTGACTTTTTTTGATAAGGCAAAATATGATTATCTGGGAGTGCAAGGGGTACTCCTACCAAATACATCACAATGTAGTTATAGTTTACTTGATCTCCAATTGCATCAAAAGGAACTCTCATAACAGTCTGCACGAAATGGAAAACATCAGGCAAAACAATACCAGATTAATAACCAGCCTACTACTGACTTCATTTGAATAATCTATTTTCCCCTGCTTTTCTCTATGCAGTTTTTGGTGTCAAAGTTGGTGGAATGTTGCAATACCTCTAGAGCTGACAGGAAACCTCCTACCTCCATACCATCTGAAGTTTTATCTTTGCTCCATCAGCTAACTGTGGATTCTGATCCATCTCTTCATGATTATATCAGGGTATCTGTCTGCAGCTTTTTAGGGGTTAAGTTGATTTTTTTTCTTTTTTTGGCTATTAAAACGTAATTTGACTTGGCTGTTTACAAATCATCCTTATTTGTGTATATTTTTTGTCAGATGTTTAGGATAAGTGACTGAAATCTATCTTCTTTTCTTTCCCTGGCCTTCTATTTTGAGCTTTTGAGAAGTGATGTTCTTTAAATTAAGTAAATGGGCTCACTTTGGTCCAGGAACTCGAACCCTTCCCCAAAATAGATATCTTTGAAGGAATACAAAACTTCCACCAGGAACTATGCCATATGTACTCTCCAAAAGATCACTTGTTGAAGGTTTGATTAGATTCTGTTTTAAATGGTTTATAGTGCTGTTTGTCTTTCTTGAAACATTTTCTCACTCTATTGATTCTCATTCTTCTCTTGTTTAGTTTGCTAAGAGATGTTGCCACCTTCCACCAAGGTTACTCTCCTGCAGGTGGTTTCCCTCTCAAAAAAGTTTCTTTCTGGTTTTTCCTTCATCACATTTGAGCTTATACATATTAGTTCAGGTGGTCAACTAAGAACAAAACCACAAAATTAAACTGGAATACTTAAAAGTTGGTAGTTACAAAATAAAAAATTGTTTACTTTCAAAAATCTTTCATAGTACTGCATTGTAGAGTTCAAAAAGGAAGCTTATGATCTTAACTTGCTGCATATAATTTGGTATCTTCTTGCAGTCTCAAAGCACTCCACAAAAAATTACTACTAGGGGAAACATCTCAGAGAGAAATCAAAGCCATAGAATTTTGGGATGACACATGCTGGCATCTTGACCAAGATATTGTACGTGCAGTTTGGACATTGGTCCGTATCTGTGCTGCAGATGATGCATCTTGGATTAGAGCATTGGTGTCTGATTTCATATCCAGGGTAATACCATCAGCCAGTTTGCAGTTTGCCATCTGTTATTTCATACGTAAGACTCTGAAAATACTTTCTTCAACTTGATTGTTGCAGGTTGGCATCGGTGATCCACACTGTGTTGTTTTTCATCTCCCAGTAGACTCTAGTCACATGCATATTTGCGGACCCATTAACCATGGTGGTGCTGCTGAAGTAAAACTTCTTGCAGATACTGGCATATCTGAAGAAATTCTGATTGTGCTTTTGAATATTTTGAAGAAATATCTAATGGATGATTCCGTTAAGATAGTTGATGTAGCATCACAAACTCTTCGGGTGAGGCCTTAAGGATATGTCTGCCTCTTCTTGTTTATCAAAGTTGATCAAATTCATTTTCATTCAGATGGCTTGGTTTTCTTTTGATGATTTTTCTCCTAATTGATGTATGTCTGATTTTCCCACTTAACATGTCCTATTATCAAGTGGGCTAAACAACAAATGAGCTTAACAGAAAATAGGACCTCGGCTATGATACCATCCTAAAACCAGTGAACCGCTGGTGGAATAGCCCATATCATATTTAAGTCCACATATTTCTTTGTTAATTAATCTGTGGCATTTTCCACTTAACAATATCTAAGCAATGGTTTGTTCATTACTGTATAAGCTTGTTAATAGAGAAGAATACTGCATTTGTTGCATGGAATTGAAGTTTAATAAAATTTGCTGATGGTAAAGCATTTAAGGTTCTAGTTTTGGTTCATATATGCACTTTTTGCTTCCAAGTTTTTTTTTGTTTGGGTCTTACTTGGCCTGGAAATGGGTTTACAAACAATAACAACAACAACAGAGTTAAGGAATATGTGAAGCACTTCAATGTGTAGTTACAAGACATTGTTGTAACAATAACAATAACAATAACAATAACAAATGGGCTTTAACAGAACTAACTTATTTCTTCATTCTATTCTAGGGAATACTTTCAACAGAAAGGGGTCAAAAGGCTATGTTGTCATTCGACTCTGTTGGAAGATCTCTTATTGAGGTAAATATTCTACTCCTAATAGATTTTTCTCTTATGCAATTAAGAATTAATAAAAGATGGTGCTGTGAGAAACATATAGTGATGGGCTACTGTTTTTTTTTTTTTGTGGAATGGTGATTATAATGAAGTTAAAGTCAATGGCTTAATGGTAAACTCCTTGGTCTATATGTCAGTGGTTAGAACTCCATGTTTTGATTGGAATAGGATACTTTTATGTGCCTATAATGTGTAGCTGCTAAGCTTGTAATTAGTATGCTTTTATTTTTGGAATGTACTATGTTGTATAAGAACAGTAGAATCATAAATTGACAAGTGAGGCTTGCACCTTTGATGTATGGAGATATGAGAAAAGCCTTGGAGTTGTACTGCTCAGTCACAAATTTTTCTCTAAGTTGGATAGAAAGAAACTCTGCATACAAAGAGAAACTAAATTAGCTGTGGAATAGATTTGAATTGCACTTATTAAAGGTTTTTTATGAGAAAAAGGAGTAACATGGATGTTAATTGTTCTTGTTGCCAGTCATATATGATATGCATTTCAAATCTGTTGTCCATAAATGGCTACAGCCTTTCTGTTATATAGTTTTTAAGCTATGATACTGAAAATTATGAAATTATCTTTTTTGTTTTTGCTGATTGTGAATGCATTTTTTTTCTTGAAACTCATATGGAAATTACATATGACATAGTATGGAGTTAAATTCTAGGAAATGGAGCCTTTGATTATGGAATGTAGAAAATTTACTGCCTCCATCCAACATTAGTTGTCACACTTTTTTTCTGGCACAATTACATAATCATTTAATAAGGTTTGAAATTCCACATGTAGCCTTAGAATCCTTTTACCAACTAAAATGCCTTCTGTCTTCATTTTATGAGTCTTTTAATAAGGATGAAGTTGGAATAGAAGCGTTAAATGTTTCTTTAAAATAAAAACTGTGACAACTAATTTTTGATACCCTATTTAGAAGTGAGACAACTTAAGCTGAATGGAGGCAGTATTTGTTTAACTATCTGGCTTGGTTGAGTTGAATTGTAAACTTATAAAATGTTTTCTATGGTAGGTTCACTCAAAGGGTATTGATTGCAGTCTGGTTGAGAAGCTGTTGATGGATCTGGAAAAGAAGTTTAAAGGTAGCATAATAGTTCACCAAAATTTATATGTCTCCCTCTCTCTCTCAAACAAAGATTAAAAGAAAAAAAAAAAAGGGAAGTTTTTGAGGCATCTTAATGCTTATAGAAACCAGGGATTTTTCAGATTTTTTCTTCCCCATTTTGTGTTTTTATTTCTAGTCCAATATAAGCTATAGGTTTCAAATATTAGTAAAAAACAATATTGTGGTGTCATTATTTTATTTGTTTAGAAGTATTAATTATATTAGTATTAGTTAGTAATTAGGATGTGTTGGATTTAAAGTTAAATCCAATCATAGTTGCTTAATTATTCTTACTGTCACTATTGATTCTTTTGTTCTTAATCTTTTTGTTTTGCATAGTCTAGTTGAGAAAATATCATTGGGCATTATTTGTGGATGCAAGCTATCATTGTTGACTGAACCGCTTAAAGCATCTTGTTTTCTTCCTTTCTCTCCATTTTTTCTTCACATTCTTTTCAAAGTTTTAACAATGACTTTCCTTTTGGGAGGCTGGATAAATGGCATGTAACAAAAATTTCCTTCTCAGAAGCATGTGAATTTTTGGATTTCCAGTAGAAGCTTTTATTTTGTAACTTAACAAAAATTTCAGGTTATAGAGGTCATTTGTGTGTAAAACTTGCCTTGAATTTTAATTGTATGTATAAATATAGCGAACAAACATGGGCAGTGAGTTTATAGAAAAAAGCTTGAAGTTTATATTTTGTGGAGTGTGGACACATTAATTCAAAATCCTGCTCTGTATTGATTTGGGTTTAAAAGGTGGAAATCTATTCATGTAATATTGCCTCTTATTCTCCCTAGGAAGCAGTATCATTCTTTTAGTTTAATAGATGTTTGAGATCCTCCATTGTTTAAAAACTTAAAATATTTATCCTGACTTTGCTTTAGGACTCTATGCATGTACTAAAATATTTGTCTCATTATCAGCTGACAACATTTCAGTGGAGAAGTCTAGCACATGGGCTACGAATGATAAAACTTTTGAAATGTGGATATGTCAACTTGTATACTCGCTGATTGGCTACTGCAGTGATGTGATCCTAAGGTGTTATCTTCACACTTAAATAGTTAATTATTGTGCTCGTGGTTTTTTTCTGTGTTTCCTGTTTCTTAATTTGTTTGCTTAACTTGCTCTTATCAGATTATGTCAGGATTTAGTACTGCTTAAAGCTGAAGTGGCTGAGCTTCTTTTGAAAAGTGTTATTGTCAATTTGGCTGGAAGAAACAATATGGATGTTGATATTCATCAATTGATTTCTTTGCAGGTTGCATACTGAGCTGTTTTATTTAGTCAATTTCTCTTTTCAATTTTTTTTCCCCACTTGCAACTGGGATCAACCCTAGGTCTTCGTAGGTCTTCAGCTTCATTTTTACCATTGGATCATAGAGTGTCTTTTTATTTTACTATTTTTTTTCTCTGCTTCTGCTTTTTGATTTTTAGCTCCTTGTGTATGTCATGTTCTGTTTCCTGTTTCTACATGTGGATTCATTTGATGTCATTGCCAGTTGCACACCATTTGTACATTTACCATTTTTATAGTTTGCAGGTCCAGGAACATATACTTACGAACTCTAATAAGAATTTAAGAATATTGATTCAACATTTGTTTTTTCTTAGTTAACTTTGCTTATGTTATGTGGTATTCACAGAATCTAATAATGGATTAACTGATCATCTGTGTCTTGAAACTTCTTAAAAGTGGCTTCCAACTTTACTTTGTCTTGGCCCTACTTGTTCTAATTACTGTTATTTGATCAGCTTTTGCATGTTTTTTTTTGCCAGTTTATGATGTGTTACAGCACAGTTGTAAACCCTTAGTTCGTTTACTAGTTTTTCTACTTTGCAGGTCAAGGAACATATTTTCACAGAATCTAATAAGATGACAAAATCAATTCAAGTTTTCTTGAATGCCCTTAATGAACTTCGCTTATGTTATGTCATGGAAAGATCTTTTGGGCCATTAAGGAGTTCTAAGGTTTGTATTGAACATTCTATGATTAATGTATGATGCTTCCTGCTTATTTTTCTCAGTTTTGTACTGGAATTTGGTCATCATATATTTTTTGTGGGACTGTAGTAGATTAATTTTTTTGGAACTGTTTTTCTTGTTCACATTAGATGGAGAACTGGAACAAAATTTACATCAAGCATTTTCTTTATCACAATTCTTTTTAGTAGTAAATGACATTGCTCTGGCACCATTAACTTTCTTTTAACGTACATCATTTGGTCAGATATTGATGTTGTTAGCAATTCAATTTATGATCATCATTTGATGGTTTTGCAGACTGCTAAGTCATCAAGTTACAGTTCAAAGTCTCGTTCCACCCCTCTGAAGGCTCTTGATTCTGCAGTTACATTAAGTGAAATGGCAATATTTACATCTTCATGGGAGAAGGTTAGGTTTTCAATTTAGCAGAACTTTCCTCTCTCATATTTCATTTGCTGCAGCTTTTCTTTCATGTTCTTCCTCCTTTTCTTTCTTCCCAAATAATCTCATAACAGCTGATTAAAAAAAAAAAAAAAAGTCTCATAACAAATTTTTTTCACTTTTAAGTCTCTAACAAAATGAAAAATTGGTTTTGGTGTTCTAAGCCTCATTTCATTTGGATTGCATTGTTTTTACTTTCTCTTTGTTTGAAGAAGGGGGAAGGAGGATAAAGGGGTTGAATTTATTTTCTCTATTTACTAGTCATCAGTGTAAATTGTAGCCAGGATAGAGAGGCAATGTTTCCAACCCTCTTTATGTGATGACAATAACTTACAGTAGACTAGGATTGACTCATGTGACTACAGGCAGTTGTGACTTGTTATTATTGCTTGTTTTTGTTTTCATTGTCCTCGGTTCCCCCTTTTTATGACAATATATCTCATTTTTTTCCAGGTTTATTGGCTTTCTATTGATTATCTTGTTGTTGCTAAATCAGCAGTTGTAAGTATTGAAACTTTCAGTGTTACCCTTTTTCTTACTTTTTATTTGAGTCTCCTGTTTTGCAGTCTAGAATGGATTGATGGGGGAGAGCCCCCAATATCAGGGGGCTGCATTGGGGGCTCGCCTCTGACTCAAAGGTCACTGATGTACAATCTAGTGTAGTCTGGACCGCACAACAGTTTTTCGTTGTTATTATTATTGTTGTTGTTGTTGTTCTTTTTTTGTTTGTTCTGTATTATGGACTATGTATTAATTATAAATCTTCTTCTCTGATTTGGGTACGCATACTTTTTAGATTTGTGGTTCATACTTTTCTTCCATGATGTATGTGGAGCATTGGTGTGAAGAACATTTCCATTCTCTCACCCTTGGGAGCCCTGATTTTTCCAATTTTGAGATGGTAACATTTCATAGTTTTCTATTTGATTCTCCTTAGACAATCCTTCACCAGTTCCAACCAATCCTTTGTTTTCTGTCTCTGTAGTTACCACAACATATTGAAATACTTATCTCAGCAATCAATCACATCAATGAACCTGATAGCTTATATGGGGTCATCCAGTCATACACGGTTAGTCTGCCTTCACTACATGCTAGAATTCTTTTTTGTTGTGTATTTTTAATATTATGCTGCTGTAAGGCATCATGGATATAATTGGGGAAAGATTATTGAAGCTGTGACACGCTGTTTGTAAGTCTGAAATTCAAACCATTAGGTGTCCTATAGGAGATATTCATGTCCTATTGTTTGCTTCTAGTTTGTGTTTATTGATTTTTGCATTTCACTTTACCTTTCCAATCACTATATTATTTTAATTAGATAAGCTGGAACTGAAAATCGCTATATATAGCACAGCTTTGTGATTTATATGCTTTGACGTTCAGCTTTCTCTAGTAAGTTGCCTGACCAAACTGATCTTTGAATTTACTGCCAAATTCTTAGCTCGGACATTGTTGCACATCAAAATGCTGAATTAGTGATTGTGATGGTCGTGATATGATAACGGCAATGATTTTCTATCAATTATTTATAGTGCTTGGCAGGCAGGTTCTAAAAAATATAATCCCTAGTGTACTCCCAGCTGAATATTTGATATTCAATTTAGATTTTATCTATATTGTTTTTATTTCATTTACAAGTTTATTAGTCTTATAGTGCATGATTCCTTTTTGGTTTTCTGTATATTTTTTTAATAGTTGACCTCCCAAATAATTACCTTTGAGCACGAAGGAAATTGGAATAAGGCCCTTGAGTATTACGACCTACAAGTACGATCTGATGGCACAGTGCAAAATGATAACAGATCCAAAACTCTTTTACTGGAGCAGACCCAACCAACACCTCACTTTTCTGCATTGGAAGGTGGGACAATATGGAAACCTTACAAAGGCTTGATTAGGTCCTTGCAGCAAACTGGTTGCACACATGTACTGGATCTGTATTGCCATGGATTAACTTCTCGAAATTCCCAATTTCAGCATGATTTAGAGTTTACAGAATTGCAGGTCTGTAGATCAATGTTTGCCTTTTTTATGTATAAATGATTAGCAATCCATTTTTCCTTTCACTTTGTCTTGATGTAATGCTTCATTTTCCTCACCTCTATTCCCTCTTCTCTGGGGCAAATACATGCAGTATGAGGCTGCTTGGCGTGCAGGAAACTGGGATTTTTCTTCACTTTATTCAGGAGCTCATTCTACTCCTTCAGGTCATCACATTAGAAGTCACCATTTCAATGAAAACTTGCATAGGTAAATTTTTGTTTGGGAATTCTCCTTTATTGATTTTGATGGGATGTTGGACTCATTTTACATTGAATGTTTTGCAAAAAGCATTTCTTATACTTAAATTTTGTTTTCTTTATTGTTGTCACTGTCTGGGTCTTTTGTGGAAAAATGAAAGAGCCACTTATGGCGGTTTTCTTAGACACCTCTCTTTTCTATTTTGGTTCTCTAGTACACTACTTTATCAAATTTTTATCAAGTCATACATTATAGAGTCCATAAATTTTTGAAAATTTCATAAAAAACAATATTATAAATAATAAATAATATAGACACTTTTTATATCTAGTCAAAAAGTGATTATACCATACAAATTTATGTGTTATTTGAGCATCTAAAAATATATAAAAACTTCGGAGATGGCTCCGGCCTAAAGTACATCCTTATGGATTGCAAATTTAAAGAGTTTGTAAACATCCAATTGGCAATAGGTGTAGTGGTTCACAGGTTTCCCTTTTAACCCCACAACCTTGCAACAACCACCCTTTGTGTCTCGCATGAATCAGGGCAATATGTGGAGTAGTTCACATTCCATTTGACAAAAGGAGAAATGTAATTTAATTAGTATTTCCAAGGAATAATCACAGGAAAACAGGGTTATAAGCTTTTCCATTTTATTATTATACATTTAGTTTTAGTTCTATAATAAGAAGTCTTAAGCATGTGAAGCTATGGAATGTTTTAAATTGTCATTAAAAAATGTAAAGAAAATAATCCAATGCCACAAATATGTTACCTAAGGAAAGAGGATCTTCCCTTAAAATGGGAAAGTAGGGGAATGATATAAATTGCAGCTTCTTTTAGTGACTTTTACACTAGTCATCTCGTAGCTCAAGAATTATTTTCAAGTTTATATTGGCTGTTACCTAAATGTTCAAATTACTAGGTTGGAGCTAAGGGATGGGTTTTATTCTTTTATGCTCTTCCTTGGACCGAAATCCTTTATGTTTAATGCCTCTAAATTTGGGCCTTACACCATATGCTGAATCTTTAATGGAAAGGATTGATGGTCTTATGATTCAAACTTTCAACTGCTAGATTTTGCAGTTCTTTTATTTATTTATTTTTGATAATCTATTTTAAGCAAATTTTGGCACCATACTAAAAATCTGTTATGTCTAAAGAAGTTCAGTCATACCAATTCTTTTTATTCTCCTTTTCTGATGTAAGTCTTATTTTTTTCACCCTTTTTCTTTTCCTTCTTCTTCTTCTTCTCCTTCTTCTTCTTTTTTTTTTTTTTTCACTTCCCATGCAATGCTAGTTGCTTGAAGGGATTGCAAGAGGGTGATTCCTATGAATTTCAGAGAAAACTCAGAGATATGAAAGAGGTGATATTTACTTTTATCTTTCTCTGAGTTGACATGGGAAGGCTTCTTATAATTATGTGGGATATTGACCCCGCTTTTTCTTAAGGAACTTGTTTGGTCTGTCTCTCATGCAAGCGAGGAAAGCACTGAGTTCATCTACTCAACAATAATAAAACTCCAGGTGACTCCTGTAACACTATATCTACTTATTGTTCCATGCATCATTTCTCACTTTTAGCACATGAGGATCCTTGGAATATTCTCTAAAAAATGAATTGCTGTTCTTGATTTGATAGTTATTTGTCCTAGTCATTCTAGGCTGCTTCATATGTTGAATCCTAGTCCAGTCGAAACTTGGGAGGAGTATGTTTATTAAAATTTTTTCTGGAATTGGTAAGTTCATTCCTCAAAAATCCCCAAGGGCTACGTACAAGTTACTCCTGGGCATTCCCATTGGATTACATCTCCGTAATGTCTGTTGTAATCTAAATCTATTAATTACAATTTGGATGAGCATCTCCTGGTTCCTCCTTAGGTCAGTAAACAACCTACATTTTCTTTCTATCCAAAGATAATATACTGCACAAGAAAAAACAGATTTGAAATTCTGCACCTCCAGACTTCTACCACAACAGCTTCTCAAAATCCATTTCCATTCTCAGCAATGGTGCAAACATTGCTTGAGCAAGCCCAATCTCTGCGGCACTTCCATCCATTCTTGTTTGATGAAGTCACATTAAAGTATTTGAGATTCACTTCCTCCACGGTAACCTCACAAAACAAGCATTGCAAATCAACATGGATACCTCTGTCATTCAGCAGTACCTTTGTTTTTAACCTGGTCTTTACCAACAGCCAAAGTAAGAAGCTCTGCCTTGGCAGCATTTAGGCCAAATAAACAAGCATGAATCCACTTTCTTTTTCTTATCTCTCGACAGATCATAACATTGTGAGATAGAAAACTTACCAACTTTCCCCTTGACTGAGATCCACTGTTCCTTGTCAGGTTGTAGGGAGACTTCCATATTCAAGATCCTATCCACAATGGTTGGATGCCTCCTCTGGAAACTGATTGGTCTATGTCATATGCCATATGCCTCGTGAAATCCAATTTGGCACCAGTAAGGCATGGCCCCATGCTGCAATGCCCTGAGTCGGTCCATCAACCTCCTCTAGTCTTGTTTTACCCAACCAACAATCATAAAATAGGGATGTCTGGTGTCCATCCCCTACCTCCATTCTAATGTTATGCTTCAATAGAGGCCTTAACTGCAGCATTTTTCTCCAAGACCAGGAGCAACCCTGAGGTATACTTGCTGCACAGATATTAACCCTTTTCAACTTTTCCTTAGCCCACTGTCCTAAAGGGACTCAGGTTCATTACAAGCGGTCCACAAATGCTTGGCCATAGCTGCTTTGTTCCACACTTTTACCTGCTTAATGCCTAACCCACCTTCTGACTGGGGTGAGCAAACATCTTCCCAAGATACCGGTGCATTACCTTGTTTTTCTGTGCTACCAGACCATAAATAATTTCTCCATAGCTGCATAAATTTTACAATCACTTTTCCAGGGAGTATAAACAAACTACACCAGTATACTTGCATTGGGAACAATACTGACTTAAACAACTGCAACCTTCCCACAAATGACAACAAATTGTTGCCCTATGCATCCATTTTCCTTTTCGATTTCTCAATTAAAGGCTGGCATTCAGTCACTGATAGCTTCAATGGAATCAATGGAACTCCCAGATATTTAACAGGCAGCTTGCCCATTTTAACCCCAGAATCTTGTTAATTCTATGTCTTGCAGCAGCAATCGCGCTAAGGAATACTTGGCTCTTATCATTATCAAGCAGACCTAACACAACAAAGAAAGAGCTAATCAATTCTCTCAACCTCCCACTAGATGACTAGAATACTCCTCAGCCTTACCAAAGACCATGAGGTCATCCGCAAATAACTGTTGGGACAGTTTTAAGCACATGCAGAGTTGCAGTGAAGATGGTATTGAAAATTACTCTCATTTTGGACAGTCCTTATCAATCTGGAGAAGTAATCCATTGCAATCACAGACAAATGAGGGGACAAGGGGTCCCCTTGCCTTGCTCCACTCTTGCCATGAAAAAATCCATAAGGGGAGCCATTAAAGATAATAGAGAAGCTGGCAGTAAATACACAGAGCATAACCCACAGCACAAACTTGTTAGGAAATTTTAACCCTGAGAGAACAGGTCTCAAAAAACTCTGGTCCATTGAGTCATAAGCCTTCCTTAAATCCAGCTTCATTGAACACCTGGCAGAACCATCCCTATAGTAATTCCTAGCTAGATCTTGACAGATGAGTGTGTTTATTAAATTACTTATGACCTTAAAATCTTTCTTTGACCTTTGTGGCTAATTTAGGAATTGGCATGTATTATGAAAGGATAAATTGTTGGTCGTTTGTCATGCTATGCTATGTGAGAACCCTTGATGTGCCATGAAATTCAGTTCTTGCATCACTTGTAGGGCTTTTCCATATTTATAACCCACTATATAAAAGCAGTAAAAAAATTGTAATATTTCAGTTTATTATTATAATACTTTTCTTCTCTAATAATTATCTATTTGTGCAGATTCTTTATCATCTTGGCTTTGCTTGGGAAATACGTTGGCCAAAATCTTCATTTGAAAAGATAAAAAACCATGCTGATGAGCAAAAAGTGTTATCTGATCCTGTACTCCCTACAATGGACCAGGTATTTATATCAAAGACTTTGTCTACCATAGGCTAGCTTTGGCATGTATCTTGTGGGTTTGTTTGTCAACTAAAGAGATAGTCACCTACCAATCCACAATTTTTTTTTTATTTTTTTTATTTTTTCTGAATACTCTGGGTTTTAACTTGTGGTTAACTCTGCCTTTCCATTTCTTAACAGATCTTATCCATGAAATAAATGAAATCAAATATCATTTGAATTATTATTTATTAATCTGTGGGCTGTGTGTCAAAAGATAAGTTGCATATGATATAATGTTTTTGATTAGAAACATAATATATCACCTATCAAATCTTTGTTGTGGATGTGTTTCTTATTTGAGTTAATTGTTAGAAATTAAAGCCACAACAAGTATAAAACTAGGTCAATAGATGATCTTAAATTGTTGGTATACAGAGATTGTGTTCTTGAAATTTACTTGGGTTATTCAAAATTTCAAATATATCTAATTCTTGCAATAGCTGAATGAATATACTAGGGAAAAAATCAATGAACAACAATGATCTTCTGATTCTCTTACACAAGTTTCTGAATGTCAATGTAGTTGTCGTGGCTGAATGTGAACTGGAGCTCCATTTTGAAAAGATCACAGCTACATATGAATTTGTTAGAGCCATTTATTGCATTTAGGCGGGTTCTACTCCAAATCTTGAGTTGTAATCCGTGTACCATGCAACATCTTTTACAATCTGCATCCACTCTTCGTAAGGTATGATAAGTATCTGGAAAATTAAGAAATGATGCCTCAATCCTGCTGGCTGATTTGTTTTCTGTCTTACAGGGCTGTCGATTTTCTCAAGCTGCTGCTGCTTTGCATGAGTTTAAGTTCCTTTGTGTAGGAACTGGAGAACAAAACTCAACTTCATTTTGGCATGGAAGGGTATTTTTGTTAACTTTATACTCTCTCATTTTCTGTTACCCCATGTTTGGTTTGAGGGAAGGGGAGGGGAGGGGAGGGAGGGAAACAGGAGGATACATTCCATTGTTTTCCCCTCCCTCTCTTCAAACTAAACAAGCTGTTAGTGAAAAACATTTTAAAGTTAACATCAGAATTTTCTTTTATTTCTGAAACACATCCATGCCATGTATCATATGTTGGCGTGGCTACTTTTTTATTTGCTAAATGTTGCTTAAATAATTTGTGGAACCAACATAAATAGAAATATGTAAATGATGGCAGCTTGAAGAAGCAAAGCTATTGCGAGCTCAAGGTCAGCATGAGATGGCTATCAGCCTTGGAAAATATATCTCAGAAAATTACAAATTGAACGAAGAAGCCTCAGATGTATACCGCTTAATTGGCAAGTGGCTTGCAGAAACTAGATCTAGCAAGTATGATGGTAGCCTTGGTTTTATCAAAAAATTTGTCATGCCATTTTATCTTTCTGAAGGCTAAGCCTCTGTGATGAAAATACAGCTCAAGAACCATTCTAGAGAAGTATCTCAAGCATGCAGTCTCACTTGCTGAGGATCACAAGGCCATTGACAAAAAGTCAACAGAAAGACAAAGCCAGACTCATTTTCACCTTGCACACTATGCAGATGCTCTCTTTAGAAGTTATGAAGAAAGACTTTCTTCAAATGAGTGGCAAGCAGCAATGCGTCTAAGAAAACACAAGGTACCAGAGCTCAAAGCATTGATCAGTTTTGTCAATTTTGATTAGGCTGATTCATATAAATGTTTTATTTTACAGACAAAAGAACTCGAAGCACTGATCAGACAACTTAAAGTTTCAACAAAGGTAAGTTAACTTTCATTGCTTTTCAATCTGAGGAATACCATAGAATTGGTTGCAGTACTTAGGTAAATGCCTCCTGACTTATGTTTGATTATAGACTTCTGTCTATCATACTTAGGGGGAGAAAACTGACTATTCAATGAAAATACAAGAGTTGCAGAAGCAGCTTGCAATGGACAAGGAAGAGGCTGAAAAATTGCAGGTATTAATCTATCTATTCTGTTCTTGGAAGCTTGTAGTAGATCAGATTATGCAGACTTGCTTTTGCAAAGGGGCATGTGTGGAGCCAAAGAGTGAGCTAGTTAACTTTATCTTTTAGTCCACCAAAAGAATCTGTGGAGACACATAGCTAAAATTTGGGTTGACTGAAACCAACTCATAGGATATCTGATTATTTAATACTTTGATTTTCTTGTCTATTTGCAGTATAGGAATCATTTCAGGAATCTGCCTTTCAGACTGTTGTGTTGGGCCATCTTAAGAAATGTGGGGTATTAGGATCCAAGTTTTTAGAAGACTGGTCTAAAATAGTTGACTTGCTGCTATAACTTTTATCTAAGTGTTCATATAAAAGATTAGTATAGTTTGAGTTGATTTAATAAATAGTGCAAACAACAGCTGGAAGCAAGGAGAGTCATTAGTGAAATAGTTTAGGTTTAGTTCGTAAGTTGGTTAACTTGACTCAAAATTAGCAATAGGTTTTAAGGCAAGAGATTTTATTTAAGCAGCGAAAGGGTAGACTGAAGGTTGATTTGAACTGTATAATTTCATTAATCAAAAGTTTACTAAATTCCAAGGAGTAAGTGGTCATTTATAAAGAAATTTGGATCATTCCTTGACCAATTAGAATAGTTCTTAAATAAGAAACTACTAATGAGTAAATTATGAACTTACACCCCAGAATATTTTGAAATTCAAGAAAATTCTTCAACTTGGATTATTAAATTAAATAAATAACCCAAGGGTGCAGGAATAGAACCATTCTTATGCCTCTGACCATGAAAAGACTCATCTTTCATAAGACAAAACCCTACAATGCTTAACTGATAGTACATTCTTGATGGCTTTAAGATTTTATTGTCTTCTGATTAATGCTAAATGGATTCAGATTGTTTTATTTCCTTCTTTGCTTCCCAGGATGATAGGGACAAGTTTCTTGGCCTTGCCTTGGAGGGATATAAACGCTGTTTGGTGATCGGTGACAAATATGACGTGAGAGTGGTGGGTGCTTTTAGTTTGTGCAAAAGAAAATGTAGAGATGTTAAGATTCAATATCTCACTGATTGCATGGTTTAGGTGACAATTGTTAATTCTGATTGCTTTGTTGCAAGTTCTAATGTTTCCATGATAATGTCCGAACCTCAAGCAGTTAAAAGGGTAGTATAATTTGCTTTACTGACTTAAATAATTGGAGAAAATATGAATACCACTGTTACAAGCAAACAGAATGCTCATTTGGGCACTGACCTTCATGCTTTCAGGTGTTTAGACTTGTTTCACTGTGGTTCAATCTTTCATCGAGGCAAAATGTGATAAATAACATGCTTAGAACAATTGATGAGGTATACAGCCAACTGCAAAAATGTTGATTGATTTTGAATATATTATGTCATTGCAGTTTGATTTTATTTTCGCTGACTTTATGTGAATTTGCAGGTTCAGTCCTATAAATTTATACCACTGGTCTACCAAATTGCTTCAAGAATGGGAAGCTCAAAGGATGGACTAGGGCCTCACAATTTTCAGGTTTTCACTTGAGCATATATTCAGTTTTCCATTAGGAAGTCGAAGTTGAGAGGTTTTTTGATAACATGAATTTTTATACTGTACAGTTTGCTCTGGTTTCTCTTGTCAAGAAAATGGCCATTGATCATCCATACCATACACTCTTTCAGGTACGTAAACTTTTAATTCTGATTGGTTTTATTTGGTAACATGAAATTATGTTGCTTGAAATATCTTTTGAACCAAGAAACTTGAAGCATCTGCATGAATTTTCATAAAGTGAAACAGAGAACTTTAGTCAAATTCTTGGCATGACAAGATATGTGGAAAAGAAACTACAAAGTGTTAACTAGCACAGTTTAAATTACTATTGTTTCCTAGAGTGTTATTTTGGAGCCCCTTTGATTGTCTAATATATTCTCTCTTTTCTTTTGGTGCCCAGCTTCTAGCTCTGGCAAATGGTGACCGTATCAAGGATAAACAGCGAAGTAGAAACTCGTTTGTTGTTGATATTGATAAAAAGCTTGCTGCAGAGAATCTTTTAGAAGAGTTATCATCATATCATGGACCTATTATCAGACAAGTAACTTGAATTTTATTCTGTATTTCTCATTGAAATTTTGAAGGTTCTCTTCTTACATGGCCTGTTAACAATCTCTTTCTGTCTGTAAGATGAAACAAATGGTGGAGATCTATATCAAGCTTGCAGAGCTTGAAACAAGGAGAGAGGTTAGACTAGCAGTTCAAATGTCCTGAGATTATGTAGTCCCTTCAACAGACAAGTTTTCTCCATTTATTTAACTAAATTTGTCAACAGGATACCAATAAAAGGATAACGCTTCCAAGAGAAATTCGCAGTCTTCGGCAGCTGGAGCTTGTAAGTGCATCACTAACACCATCTATTTCATTACCCAAAAATATAAATCATATTTTGTTTACTTAAATTTTTGATCCAGTCTTTAATCAAGAACAAATATTACTTGTATGGCTTTTATAGTGCTGCACAAATGTGCCAACCATCCTGCTTCGTGATAATAGTGGCTGCTCTTCAGTTTCATATGCTGACAGTGACATTTATTAGGCAATGAAATAAAAGGCATATGAATATGTAAAACTTTCTCTGGTATTTAGATGCAAATTGATTTATGATCATATTATTAGGCAATTATTCTGGTGCAATCATCTCTATGAACTAATTAATCATCTGTATTAACAAGGGCTTTGTTAACGCCAGTTTGGATTGACAAGGATCTGTTGAACAAGGGCTTAGTCATACTGCTTAGGTGAAGAGTCAAATTAGAATTTAGAAATAAAGCAAGTCATTTGTTTCAGCTTCATTCAAAGTTCAGATGTGTGTTTGAAAACAAATATTTACAATCTTTTTATCAGGAAAAATGAAATTCGTTAATTGATTAAAAAATTATGAACATAAAAATGGAGGCAGTGGGTATCCTCCAACATCTAGACTTTGAAACAACAGCAACAACTACAACTACTACTGCTACCACTATAGCAACAACAACAACAACAAAATTCTACAGGGCACTCAGAACTGTTCCTCCTAGAAGGCAAAAAGTACAGCAACTCAAAAACTACATAACGTGAACAGATTCTTAAAGGCTAAACATCAGGCAAACCCCTGTAAACCACTTTTATTCCAAATTGATTTATTTTCATAGAAGTCTGTATCTTAAGAAATACTCAAATGACATATTAATAAACTCTGTAAACATACAGAAAATGCTCACCTGAAACAGCATCTTAAATTCTTCTTCTTTCTTCTAGTCAAAAATTCATTGTGTTTTTTATTGACTTGCTTTTTCTTTAAAATCTTCAGGTACCTGTAGTGACAGCAACATTTCCAGTTGATCGTGGCTGCCAATATCTTGAGGGCTCTTTCCCATACTTCGAAGGATTGGCAGACTCCATTATGTATGCTTTCTATATTAACAATTTAACAGTTTGATTCTGTATTTGAGTTTCTTATTTTTGTAGTAATAGATGATGTTAACATTTAATTTGTACTGATGTGATATGCAGGGTGATGAATGGTATAAATGCTCCAAAAGTGGTTGAATGCTTTGGTTCAGATGGTAGGAGATATAAACAGTTAGCAAAATCTGGAAATGATGATCTAAGACAAGATGCTGTAAGAATTTCCCAAACTTTATAAAGAACAATTTTGCATGGTCAATCTATATATATAAAGAGAGAGAGAGAGAGAGAGAGGAGGGATCCACTTACATACAAGTCTTACACACCACACTCACACAAAATCTCAACCATTTGTCTCTCCACTTTCAATAGTTGAGATTTTTTGCGACTTTTTAGGTGAAAAAGATAATTATCTTTAATAGATGTGAATAAATCTCAACAATTCATCTCTCCACTTTCAATGGTTGAGATTTATTCACATTTATTAAAGATAATTATATTTTTCACCTAAAACGTCCGGACAATCTCAACCATTGAAAGTGGAGAAATGAATGGTTGAGATTTTGTGTAAGTATGATGTGTACGACTTGTGTGTAAATGGATCCCTCCTCATATGCATGTATATGGAAAAAGTGTTTTATAGGTCATTCTCCCAAATTTTTTTTGGAAGAAATGTTTAAAAACTCATCTTTTGATTCCTATTTTCAAAAGCCAACCGTTGGATTGAAAGTTGTATTCATATAAACCATGCATGTAAATTTTCATTTTGATCTAGTAAGCCTAACCACTTTGTTAACTACAAGAAATTTAACACTGTTAAATATTGGTCAATATGAAAATTGATATGCATGATCTTACATGAATAGATCTTTCAATCTAATGGTCGGTTTTTGAAAATATTAATTAGAATGTGGATTTTTAGACATGTCCTCCAAAAAAATTTTAGAAGGACAACC